CCTAACCCTAACCCTAACCCTAACCCTAACCCTAACCCTAACCCTAACCCTAACCCTAACCCTAACCCTAACCCTAACCCTAACCCTAACCCTAACCCTAAGTTCACCCGCCGTGAATGTTACCTAACTTCGGACTTTACAAGAACTAAGTAGACCTTCTCTTGGTCATACAAATTCTTGATCACTTTTTATATGTAAGCTCACAATTGCTAGGCTGCAGAATCCTCGTATTGCGACACCATATATTCTCTCTCACTGATAAAACCAGCACTGGGCCCAGCTGCCCCTGCAGTGTCCCTCGGCACAACTTGAGACACTCCATACTAGTATTAAGTATCATTTTAGCTATGGTTAGACGCGCTCTAGAACCCTGTACAGTTTCAAATATTATACAGTAAAGTATGAGGTCTAACCCTAAGGAGGAACTCGGGGTTACAGTGTCCGATCGTATGATTCATAACTGTCAGATTGAGAGGTGGCTTGTTGAACTTTGATAGGCCAGCTGAAAGAGAAATCTCTAGTAGCTTGGCGCTACTAGTCATATTTATGGTATCTGTATTATCCAACAGGTATAGCTATATACTGACTTACTTCTATTGATATAACTGCTCTTAGCTACACACTCTCATACTGAGGGGCAATGACTTAGTACCTCTAAACAATATAAAGAAAATCTGGTCTCTTATCCCCGATAACCCTTATCTCTTCCACTGTTTTATCTTCCACTAAATGATCCCGCTTACCTCCCATTTTCTTTTTGTTCTCTGCTTTCAGAAGCATATGCATTACTATACTGCCGGTGAAAGCTCCGAACACTAGATATCCTAGTAGCACACTATGCCCTGTCCAGAACCGTGGGGACTCTCGGGAAAGATAGACGTTGGTCGAGACTATACCATTGAGATTGGACCATCCAATAGAGATGCCCATAACGATGCCCCGTTTATAAACGCCGTCAGTATTGTTGCTTATCCAGGAAATTGTGTTCGGAATGGCAGGATAGATACCTAGCGCCGCCAGAAACGTGCCAGCATACTGGACCCGGGCGTTGGCCGACCCTAGAAGCAGGAGGAATCCTGCGATCCCAATGGAGGAACATCCAATGTTAAAAGGACCTCGGCGCTGGTACCGGTCAGCGGCCCAACCCACTGCCACCGTGGCAACGGCGGCGACAGCGTATGGGGGCACCGATAGCAATTGTGCGCGGGTGCCGGAGTGCCCAAGTCCACGCAAAATGGTTGGCAGGAAAAGAGAGAAGCCGTAAACAGGGATCAAGCATCCTGCGTTCACCCACGCAAAACCATAAGTTTTCCAGTCCTTGAGTGCCGCGTAGACGTATCGTCGATCAAAATTTTCCGTCGTGCTGGCTTGGCGATCTGCTAACAGTCGTCGTTCAACCCTTTGGCGGTCGTCTTCTGTCAAAAAGCTTCTGGTGTCTGTAGGCCAGTCAAAGATCATCCAGTAGCATGCAACGGATGCAATGACCGTAACGAGGCCTTCGATGATGAAGATCCATGCCCAGCCTGGCTTTCCACCAACGCCATCCATCTTGGCCAGTGCGACAGCTAGAAGACCGCCAAAAGATCCTGCAATCGCAGCAGCTGAGAAGAACAAAGCGATTCTAAGTCCAAGTTCACTTCTCTTGTACCAGCATGAAAGATAGAAGGTCACCGCAGGAAATAGACCTGCTTCCATAAGTCCCAGGAAGAAACGTGTCGCCAGAAGGCCCGCATAGTTATGGACCAAGCCCATGCAAATCATGCAGACACCCCAACCGAACAAGATGGCGGTAAAGAAGTATCGGGGCGTCGTACGCTTAAGAATGATGTTGGTCAGAGGCTCGAAAACTGCGTAACTGATGAAGAAGATGGTTAACGTCATGTTGAAGTCTCCTCCGGACATTGACAAGTCGTTCTCGATTCCCACTAGTCTGGCATTTCCGATGTTGGTGCGATCCAAGAACGACAGAAGATATCTATCACTATTAGAACAGGTCTCAATACCAACAGATGAGAATGAAACCCACAGAAAGCAAAGCCATGGAAGAAGCCAGAGGTCGATCTTCAAAAGCAAGCGTCGATCCTAACAAAATGAGCCTTTGAGAACGAAGTTCAACATGAACAGCACTCACATTGCGAAGTATTTCTTGCTCGCCCAACCCTATATCCGCATCTTTGAGATCATATTGTTGGACGATATCTGGCGCCAACTCGACGTCTGGCAAGCCTTTCTTGCTGCCCGACTCTACATCAAGCGATAGTACCACTTTCTCTGTGCCGGTCGCCATGATCAATGTGTCTATTTCTTAAGAGAAGCGTGCTTGAGAAAATTGGCGTGATACATTCCATGCTCGTTATTCGGTTCTCCCTTCTTTATAGCAGCTCAGAGTTCCCAAAGTATAGTAGTAAACAGAAATGCAAACACTCCGCGGAGCAGAGTTGAGACACAAGTGGGGCAGACTAACTTCACAGATAAGATAAGCCATCCCTAGCATCAACGTGGCTTCCGTGTCGGGCGACACACCCAACGTCGGCCACTCAGGGGCTATTGGCCGGATGATTGGGTTATTCATTCACCTAGTCGCTATATCTGAGGGATTTTCTTAAATCACCCCCTTCCTAAAAGCTCGCGAATAGTATGACATTGTTGACATATCTTGGTCTTTTTCTTGGCTAACCGATTAGGTGTATCTTAAGGCAGATCCAGGTGGAATACTTCCGAGGAAGAGTATCGTCATATCAAGGCATCAAATGATGACCAACTTCGTTCTACCAACACATCAAGCACTGGCGAGGTATGTCGAAGGCTACTTTGTCAGCTGGTATGAGAATCCCCCATTTCTTCATCCACCAACATTATCACTGGCCAATGCGTCCCCGTGCCTAGTCCTCGGTATTGCAGCCATAGGTGCTCGTCACCGATATCAGCAACAAAAAGTTTCCTCGCTCTACCAGGCCGCCAAAACCATTGTTCTCCACAACATTTGTCAATGGCAAGATAACGTATCCAGCCCAGAGGCCATCACGTCCGAATATATCACTCGTGATGGCTCCTCCGACTCAGCTCCGGACTTGATGTCAGCGGAAGCGCAATGCAGTTACAGTCTAACTCCGAGAGAACTTCTGGAGACCACGCAAGCGCCGCCCATGCTGGTCGTACTCTCCAGCTGGAATGATCGAGCTCTGATCAGGGATGCACTGTCACTGGGTTCCGACCTGGCCATGTTGTTCCGACAGAACGTACTTCGAATGACGCACATCGACTCACATGATGTATTATGGTCGGAGTGGGTGCATTTTGAAGGTGCTCGTAGGATCAAATGGGCAAATTACTGCTTTCTCAATCTCCTTTCAACTGTATACAATGTTGCACCAATGATAATGAACAGTGAGATGGACCTGTTTCTGCCACGGCCGGAGAATGAATGGAAAGCGACTAGTGCACACGACTGGCAACACTCTCGGAGGACAAATCAAGGTGACTTATCATTTCTTCAGGAGTTGTCAACCATGTTGTCAACGGACAAAGTATCCAATAGACGACATAATCGCTCAAAATCTGCCTTTGGACATTTCATCCTGATCCATGGTCTCCTACAGAAAATCTTTTTCGATAGACGATAGACAATCAGCACTTTGTATGGAACTGCGAGGAAATTCTACTTTGTCACCAGAATTCCACGAGAAGATTCAGATTGCTCTTCGACTCTGGCACGATAAACTCGGTGATATCAAGCAAGGGGAGAACACCAATAATAGTTCAGATGGGCGGATACGATTTAATTCCATGGCAATGTTTCTCATTGCTCATGTTCGCCATCATACAGATATCGGCTCGAGATGTCTACTTGAGCAAAGAAATTTTGCAAAAGTTGCCCGAGACTTCGCGAATGCACCACTACTACCGCGCACACCTCAGCTTTGCCAAGCAGTAATGTACACCGCAAAATCTCTTGGAAACGTGGTACGAACCGGAGTCGAGTTTGTGGCAAAGACTAGAAGCCTCACCTGGAGCATAGTGCAGTGTCTCTCGAATCTTGAATGCGCCCTTTTACTAAGTAAACGGCTACAGACTCTTGCCATAGCCCATAAGGAAGGCCAGATTATTGAAACTCACGAGCGTAACATCGTGTCGATGGTGGTCAAGAGTATCATCAATGATATCGATGGCGAGGAGGTCACTGTACAAGGAGATGACGACTCGCGGAGCTTGGACAAACTGAGCTCACTGGTTATCCGGCTATGGGCAGTAACCTTTGAAGGCAGCCCTGTGCATGAAATTACCGGCTTTATTGGAGAAAGCCTGAAATTCTACTCGCGACGCTAGAGAGTGACAATGCCGAAGCCTGAGGCAGGCTTGACTCATACGCACACAACGATACGCGGCAATGATGACCAGCCTCCGATTGACAGCCTGCTTCAATAGAGAAGAGGTGTCTCAATTGCAGATGAAACCAGACTTAACAGGAAGTCAAAGGAGGAACTTTCATCGTTGCAGATCAATATCATCGACTTTCACGGGTGATATTGTGCAAGTCTGGGTATTCCTTGCGCGCCCGTAGAGCATTATGGCCATGAGCTGGGACTGGTCCGATCGAGAGTAATCCGAGCCGAAGTCCAATCTTCCACGTTCGCATGAGAGATGCCACTTCTGATTGATCAGTGATGGTCTCAAGCTTCTGTCAGTCGTTTGGCCGTGGAACCTGGAGCATGGACCTTGCGAGGTGGCATCCGTTTTGGGCAGGGGAAGGGAGACCCGTTTTATTGACGGATATGAGTCGAATGCAGCAACAATGTTAATTGAGATGCCCATCGGATGAACTGACCTCGCCAGGCAGAGAGGCCGTCGTAGTGCCGGCGTAGTATGCACTGGCAGCTTCCGATCCAACTTTCACTGCTTCAGTGGTGCTGAGACTTGTGGCCAGCCTACCCGTTCTGTACCTCGCAGATGGCACCGAGACAGAATAGAGCAGAAGAGGCGTGAGGAGCAGTCCAACCTCATCTAAGTAGAGTGCTTACCTACGCCTTCAAACGCAAAAACATGAGAAAGGTGTTTCCGAGATCTCTGCTGCGCAAGAAATATGACAAAAGTCATTGTTAACGAAGCGGGCATCATGGATGTCAGTGGGAGGGTGGGGATTGTCACCGGTAATGCTAGTCGCCTTCCCTCGATACTAGAAAGAACGAGGCTTAATGATCTTCAAGACATGCCAGTGGCATCGAGAAAGTGCTGGTGGAATTACTGTATCGGAGAGGGGCATCGGTCGTTTTTGGGGATCAATATAGCTGTCAGTGTAGAGCTGGCCACTGAGCTAGGCCCGTATGAAAAGATTCCACCCTCCTGTCGGCGAGAGTGTTCGTGATTGACCTCTCTTGTATCGTCTAGAAACGTCGACTTCCTGAAGACAAATGTTTTAGGTTGGAGAGACTTACTGGGCTTGTTCAATTTGACCCAAGGAAAATACGACTAGGTAGATCTGTTCTTCGCCAATCCCGGAGTTCGCGAGACCTAGAATTCGTTCAAGGATGTCTACGACGAAGACGGCGATACCAAGGTAGAGATATACTGTTGACTCGGATGTGATTAGAGATTGGCACGCTAGATGAACATGTAAGAGATGTTGGACTGTGGGGTCACGTGGGTGGGTGCCAAGACCTCTCCTCCGGTCCCACTGATTATCACCCACTCCTTGTTCTCTCTCTCAGATAGACAGACAGATAATCAATCAACTCATCGATATCCGACTGGTTTAATAAGAGGCCTATAAGGTCCTACCAGAGATGGTTTGGGGCCCTAGGTACACCTCTGCAAAGCCCCGAGTATGTGGCGACAGTGGCACTGTGGTTAGCTAGCGATCCTGTACACAACAGGTCGGTGGCCATTGAGGTCGAGGGTACGGAGTACATTATTGGACACCCAGCTGACCTGGTATGCACAGTACTTATGACCTGGACGCGGGGGCTAAGGCTGGAGTAATCCTAATAAGGTGTCCAGTCACATGCCTCATGATCTATCTTGGCGCTGTGATGGGTTGTTGGGAGAGCGGGGTTTAGTAAGCGTCCTTGATAACGAAGCAGCTTAATCATTTTTTATCACTTTACCCATCAGAATCCTCATCAGTTTATCATGTGCAGATTTCAATCCTCTTCGGGACATCTCGGATAGCAGTCTAATGGACTTGAACCGATCAGTGATGGCTTGCCCAACCTTTTACAAACGAGATTCCCAGCGATATGCTACAGCTGTTCACAAACAATCATTCGATCATCAATACAGCGTCGATTCTGTAATTGTTACTCTTTCCACAGCACTTGCTCTTTATAACTCTCTAGAGATGATCCTTCTCATAGCAAGCACATTCAAGCGATGGAGTGGATTATACTTCTAGAGTTTGAGCGTTTGCAACGCTGGAGTCATCTTGTACGCTATGGGATTATGCTAGGGTATTTCAGCCTCGGTGCCCTTTGGATCGGGAAGACCATTCTAGATCTGGGGTGGTTGCTAATGATTTCTTGTCAAGCTCTTGTTTTATACTCAAGACTAGGACTCATCATTGACGATCTCAAGATTTTGAATGGCGTTAAGTGGATGATTATCCTCACGAGTTGTACTGTTCTACCTACCGTCGTTGTTCTGGATTTCGGAAATACCTACTCTGGGATGTCTACATTCTCTCAGGCATACTTTTACATCGAACATATCCAGATGACTGTTATTACACTCCAAGAGTTGATTATATCAGGACTTTATGTATTCAAAACTACGAAGCTCCTGAACATCATCTCTGCAACCAACACTCGCAGCCTAGTCTGGCAGCTACTGACAATCAATCTTATAATCATTTTGATGGATGTAGGTTCACCAATCTATCGTCAATGTAAGTCTAATGCCGTTCTAGGTTGCTCTAGTTGTTTTGCAGTATAAGCATTATCAACTTTACCAGGAGAGTATCAAAGGATTCGTCTACAGTGTGAAGCTGAAGTTAGAACTCAACATACTTTCTAAATTAGTCAATCTTGTCCATGGAAACGCGTCCAACCGCAGAATGACGTTAGAAGCGATCGATTCTAACGCGATCGCTGGGCAGGCGCAAGCTGAATTGCGGCAGGAAATTTTCGCTGCAAGTTCAGAAGGCGAATATGAGCAGTACAACTCTCACGCGAATGTTAAGAAAGGTGAAACAGCTCTGAATGAAAATATTGCCAATGGACTAGAGCCCAAAGAGAGTGGAGAGATATTTGAGGTCGTGTCTCAACAGACAGTGCCCACGCATCGAATCAGCGACAGGGAATCGGATGTCCTTTATGCTGAAGCAATCCGCGATATGAAATGAATCCAAAAGTTTCACCACGATTGAGTCCTTACTCAAGGTGTCTTATAAACCTTTCATCACACGCCGACAGGATAGTACGGTAATATGGACCGCCGAATTCGATCTTCTAGGATTATATACCCCCCTTCAGGCTTCTATGGTGAAGAAGATACATACTTCGGCTCCAATGAGTAACTCTAAGGGTGAGCGGGAAAACTGTTTAGTTCCAAAGCGACATCATAATCTTGTGGCCTAATAAGACTCTATGGTATAATGGGAATTTCTGATACTCCTTGCTCAGGAAAAAGACCATGCAGGAGCTCCCTAATAGCACTTTGAACGTCCTTTAGCTCTTGGTCGTCTGTAGTAACCACGTCATCGTTCAGACAGATTTGACCAGGTAATGGCCTTTGTTCCTTCACAAAATGCCTATATAGAGTACTGTCGATTTGATCTGCATCAGTAATCATGACGAAGAGTGTGTCTGATGGATCAACAACAATATATTTATACCGCATGACCGCCTTAATCACTAAGTCTCGGTCAGCTTGCTGTCCGCCCTTATGTGGCAACAACGGTGAAAGGCCAGAGGCGGTTTGAAAGAGAAGGCCTTTAAGCAAACAGTCTCCGCAGCGTGGATTTTGCCGAGCTAAGCGATCGAAGATCACTGCAGAGCTGAACGTTGGGTTTAAATTTGAAGCTTCCGAGTCATCTGTCATGAAGCCAGGCGCTAAGCACTCGTCAATGTTGAACTCAGCGCAATCTGCGTCACGTATTGCCATAGGTCCATCCAGTGAAGTCCAGAGTGAGTTAGTGTTTACTTGAGGCGGTTTCAAGCCTGCCTTTTCGAGCAGTGAAGGAACGTGATAAAACATCTTTCGACGGAAAGATGCGCGGCCGGCATTCTCGGTACCGGCTGCAAGGTCTTGCGCTATACTTTGTCGCTCTTTCCATGATAGAATACCGTCGCGGTCTATATCACTGCGTAGCATGATATAGCTCCACAAGAGAACTTCTCGGTGTCGCTCAATCTGATAGTGATATGCCATATACCAAGAGTAAAGCTGGAACCCCGGTTCACCCCGAAATCGCTTACAGGCACTCTGGACCTCTGGGCGAGGAAACGCCTCGATTGCCTCTTTCATGATACTTCGCGACAAAGAATGCCCAAAGTGGCTCTGGCCTTTTCGTTTCCGGATCCCAAAGCGTCTATTTAGAAGCCATGAAGTGTAGATTAGGTACGGCTAAGTGAAGGTTAACACTGCAATAGGGAGGGCGATCGTCGCTACAGACCTTTTCGCCGAAGCGCTTGGCATCAACGTCAGTTGGTGGTGATGTAGTGCTATACCCGTTAGTTTTGAAGCTGATTGCAGCACCAAATAGGGGCGAATAAATGTCGGCAGGCGAATGTTCTCTTGTGAGTAACATGTCATCAGACATGGCAAAGAACTAGGTCTGACATTAGCCATATAATATAAGCTTCACTTTGTTCAAGTTTTACATACCTGGTCGACTTCTGATTCCGTATTGAACATCTGATTCTCGATAGTGAGAGAATTGAAAGTGGGTAAGCACACTGCTTTATCTGTCTCGAACATCTCTTCTTGAGAGACTATTTGAACAGTCTGCGAGACCTTTGGATCTTCAAGCGCGAGCCAAGTGGGACTTTGCTTGCGGACTGGAACTCCGGCCTCATATATGGAGTTGACGAGGACTTTCACTTTGTTTAAAAAGTGGCCGGCGTTCCGTTCGATGCTCCTAAATGAATATCGAAGCTCATCCCAATCCCGATATCGATTGACGCCGTGCGAGTTAATCCACTTGCCATCTGGGTCGTTTAGTACAGAACGTTCTTCCCACGGCCTGATTGTTTTCTGGAAGTCCTCTTCTGATCCATTCACCCCTTTCGACAAGTCATTAGCATGGATCAACAGGGACGGAAAGGAAGTCATCATACAGAGATAGACAAAATCCACCTTTGGTTCTTGCAGCTGACCCCATCGTTTCTCATCATATCTGCCATTGCTTACCCAATCATCCTCCCATCCTTGCAACACCTCCTCTTCAACAGCTTTAGTAAATGGTACCCAAACGAATTCAGGAAGTCTTTCGGCCTTTTGCTCAAACGAGAGATGCTGCTGAGATTCGTTTGACTCGTCTTCCACCAGCCGTCCTTCTGAGCCAGCTGTAATTCCCAATTCTTCACCTTCAACTCCATCGGGCGGAAGTCTTGCTTGGGGACCGTTGTCTGTTACCACTTTCTTCTCCATTAATGTTACACCAGAATCTTCTGTCTTTGCGACCGGAACTTTGTCGTTCAGGGTCAAAGAACTTGCACGCTCGGTGTCTTTCAGCCCTGAATTTTCATGTGCCACACCCTGGGCCTCAGGAATGAAGTCGCTATCAGCTGGCTCACTACCATGTGACAGCACCCTTTGAGCCTCCCACTTCTCAGAGGGGCTATTCTCATCTGATTGTCGAGTTTGTTGTTGGGTCGGCACATTCGCTGGGTGTCGGGAATTTCCCGTGTCCGTAGGGTTCTTTCCATGAATCCTACTTTTGTAAACATCATAATGCTGGTAGTGGATAGAACTTCTTCTTATTGCCAACAGAACTGTCACAGCTGTTACAATTCCGAGGGCGAGAACAAAGCATACACCTCCTGACCGCACACGCCTTCGCCACCACCTGGGCCTCTTATTGTTCTGCCACAAAGGCCGTTTCTCGTGATAAGTTTGGTATGCTTGATACATGCTTTTGGGGTCTTTGAGATGCTTTCAAAACGGGTTCTCTACGCCCCAGCTCAATGCGACATGGGACGGAGGCACCATAAAGCCGACAAAGACTACTGAAATGCGTGCCTTTTGCTCTGGAAGACTGTGCAGTACTGGTTGCGAACCAATCAGGCAGGTGATAGACACGGCCAGGATGTTGTTCAATTTGAAAGCGTGATATGGGAGAGGTGTATGAGGTCAACAAAGAAGCTGGGTTGCGCCAGCGCCAAGTTTCTTGGTGAACAGGTGTTTGATATTGGCCACCATGTGTAGTACAGTTCTCATGACTGAACAGAAGAGCGGATATTTTAGAGGAGGCGATTATATGTTCTAAGCTAGTCCTTCATGGTATTATGCACGGTGGCACTACCACAGCCATGGGTGAAGGGGCTGAGCTGAGGGCTGTGGGCTTCTCAAGCTTTGTTCGCAGAGCCTCTAGGCAATCATGACCAAAAAGGAAAACTGTCGTGCTGAGGAATGAATCTGGATCCGCTCTGATGTGGTCTGTAAAGCCAAAAGGGAATCCAGAGTGGCCGATACAGAGTCCCCAGAACGTCCAGGCAGCTTCCGACAAGCCTCTCAGCACGATACCAGGTAATATCAAACAATACGGTATCGAGATTTGTGTTAAGACAACCGTCATTTGACCTTGGCACTTCACCAGCATGCCGTGCTGAACTTTGAATTATGGACTATGAACTAACCTCCGGGTACGCCCCTCCAACCTACCCCATCGGTTTTCGCCATGCCGCGCACCAGGTCTAGGTTCGAAAGCTAATGCAAGAATCACGGTACCTGGCTCCATAAAGGCCGAAAAGGGTCGACCACGACATTGCTTGCCAAATCTGGTCAAGCCTCCTTTCCATTTTCGAAATACTTGTGGTACCGCATGCCTTCCATGTGTAGTTCGCCGCTGCATCGACGGCGACCCTTATTGGACATCACTACGATGATGTGGTCCATTCGAATCAAAGTTTTGCATCGACGCTCCGTTAGTTGAGCCTAGACTACATCTAACCATCGGACCTTCCACAATCGATAAGTGAAAAGGCAATGGATAAGACCACAGGCCAATACCTCTCCTCACAAGGATTAGTGCCCATGCGAAGGCTTAATGTACCATGGAACGCACTATTGATAATCAACTCTGTCATTGAGGTGGCTCGCCGCCAGCCTGAGGGGTGGGTTCTAACCGATGGTCGAGTCAATAGGAACCTGAAGCTCGGTTCCGCGATTGGATGCTCATCGGCAGGTCGCATGCCAGCTCGGCATATCTATAACATGGAAGCGGCACATAAGCTCGCGAGCTCTTGCCGTGTGGCCCAGCGACGTCCAGGGACCAAGGCAAAATTGTGCTAGATGATGCTGACACCAGACTGTCTTCGAGGTGGATATGGCTGAAAGTGGAATGGGTCATGACTACTCTCACATGCATTTCTCTATGCCTCAAGGGTTTGCTCCAAGAAAATGTCTCATTCCGTAAAGCTCAGAGGCCGTCGACGTGACCGTAATGGAGCTGAACCCAGCCCTTGTGGGCCATTTTAGGGCGGGTGATGCGGGAGGGACGAAAGGATTCTGTTGGGAGTTCGACTAAGGGCAGCTGAGACCAACTGACCGTGTTTCGGGATGTAGTATCTCTATCCTCTCAAGACCTTCTTCCTTTCTCTCTCTCTCTCTCTCTTTTCTGTTGCCTCAAGGATAGTCACTCGCTTACAATTTCGTGCTTCAATCTTGGGACTTGTAGCGGAGAGAGCTCATTGTCATTGACTATGCGTTTCTATAAGTCATTCTTCAGAGCAGCTGCTCTGCTTCTCTGTGTATTAGTGCTGATTGCCCGACCTGTCGATGCCAGTGATAACGCAGTACCTGTCGATGGCGCACAACTTGACACAAGAGGACTCCATTTCAAACGCAACTATTTCCATGTTCAGGTCTACCGGTCTGGGAGGAAGTATCATAGCTCCAAAGGGAGCTGGATCGCCTTTCACGGGGGAGATGGCTATGTCGTGGACAACATCCAGGAAGCTGAACGATTCTATATTTTTGCCGGCCAATTAATTACTTCCAAGGGACATTATGTCCATCTTGAGTTTAGCAACGGATATGCTATATTCAAATGGGAGTCTAAGAGGCAGAGGAATGGCATTTGGTATAGTCGCTGGGGGGACTTCCTTAGCATCCGTGGGCCCGGGTTTACTTATGGAAAAGGGGAAGGTGTCTGCTGTGTTGGCGATGATGGATCGATATTCGTACAAAGGGGACGAAGAACACCTTTCCAATGCCATCCAATCGACATGCGCCCAAACCCTGGTAAGTGAGGACTCTATGTCTCAACATGATCACCACTAAATCTTTAGGTACTAAACCTCTACCACCACCAACGCATAAGCCAACGAAGAAGCCTACGCCACCTTGGACGACAAAAGGACCAACATCAACAAAGACAACTAAGCCAACGACAACCAAGCTTCCGCAATCAACTAAGACGTCATACACAAAGACCACGAAACCTCCAACGACAATGACAACAGCAACAACATCCACCACAAAGATGACAACAGGAACTGCCACTACTACAACAGTGGAAATAACCACCAAGACAACCACCACCACTAGTGCCAACCCCTCTTGGGATCCTGATCCGGACATGCATCGCAGAGATGTGGAAACTGACCCTGAACAAGAGGATGATGAAATCTGAGTTATTCGAAGATGGGTACCTTAGAAGGCGAGTTTATAGCTCATTAATATGGGTAACCCATCTCGACAGAGACTTGGGAGAGATGCAGATGGACAGGAAGTTTTCGGGGGTGTTCCGAGTGTGTGATAAGGCAATATTGTAGCCCATATTGGACTGCTCATCGTCCTTGAGCTTCCGAAAACCTCCTCAGAAAACGGCTTGAACGTAAGTAGTTTGGACGGGCTAATCACGACGCGGCAATAGACCTAGCATCTCCCCAATTCATTAGAAGTTTCTCATCAGAACGCTTCCAAAAAAAAGATTGAAGTGACAAAGAGCATGTGATTTTAGGCTTTCTCAAAGGGCCGCTCTGCTCAAGCCCCCACTTAAGTACCAGCATTTGCCGCTGCTCCACTTCTCCGCGTGGTCCCCAGGGAATGCCGAGGGCTTCGGGACCCGCCAGGGGCTTGGTCATATATTGGTCTTTGCTCGGGTAAAGAAACTTCACCCTAAGGGCTCAGAGACCCGCAGATAGTTCCGGGCGTCATGCAAGTAGGGATGTTGGCCCTCTGCACACGGCTGGGGTTCTCATAACCACTTGTGCCCAGTCTTCATCGTTCCAGAACTCTTTGTAGTTGGTTATCAGACTTTCCTTGACATGTGAAGCTTTTCCTCTTCACGCACAACTTTGCTGTCGGTCACACCTGTTCTGGAAATGTAGATGATCTGGTTCGGGATGAAAGGCAAACTACCTGAGACCTGCATCTTTGCAAGCACGCGAGCATGAGGTAGTGGCTGGCTGATACCTCAACAAAGTATTGCATGCCTGAAGTACAGCAAGATTTTCTTTGACTTGAGTGATACACAGCACTAAAGACCATAAGGCCATTTCTCTTTCAATTCAGCAAGAGAACCAGGTTTTGGTAACCCGGGTTCTGAGACAAAGCTGTACTGCTACTGGCCCCCAGATTTGTCTTTACTCATCTAGAGCTCTCGCCGGGCTCTACTCGTCCACTCAGGCTTGCTCCAGCTTAGGCCTCAGATTCCTCATCACAGTTGAAGATTCAACATCCATATAACCACCTGCTTTAATAAGTACCTAGTACTACACTTTCACCAAGCAATGTCCAAAGAAAGCAAACTCCTTCACCAGGATCTTCTAAGATCAGGTAATCAAACCTGCTACTTTCATAGTCTATAGTACAAGACTGACGCTGCTTAGGGGATGATGGTAGAGCTCACATGCCAGATTTAGAGAAACAGGTTATTATCCAAGAGAAGTCTCAAGATGCAGAACTCTCCTGTTGGGCTAGGACAACACCAATAGCTGCCTGGCGTTTCAAAGCATCTGTAGAAGACTGGACAAACTTCTTTTGCGTCGCTCTCAATACAGGTGCCACGGTCTCGATTGTTTTCGCGAACAAAGTGTGAGCATCGAAATCTGACTATTATGTGCTATATGGCCTAGCTGATCTCGTGTAAATAGAATCTTCAGCGACCCCCAGCTTCGACATTTCCAGGTCGGCACCGCAGCGTGGCACTTTGCAGCTACTACGCTGGTATTGATCATGGCCTCAATGAGGCCATTCAATGTCTTCAAGCCCATCAAACTTCCAGTGAAAGAGGTCCTTTCAATCTCTATTCTCTTTGTCGGCTTTCTGGTACTTGGAAATCTGTCCTTGGCATTAAATGATGTGTCATTTTACCAGCTCGCCAAAATCATGACTGCTCCGATGGTTGTACTGATCAACTTTGTTCTATTCAAGAAACACACCTCTTTTCAATCGTTATCAGCTGTACTTGTGTCCTGTGTGGGTGTTGCCCTCCCAAATATGGCATTAATTGGCTCAAATCCCATTGGGGCACTGGTTGCTGTGGCCGCCTTCGTTACCACGGCATTTTACCAGATTTGGATTGGCAAGAAGGTCGAAGAACTGAACGTCAGTGCACCTCAACTTCTCTTGAACCAAGCACCAGTCGCAGTGCTTCTTCTTTGTCTGTTGCTCCCCTTCACAGACACGATACCCGACTTTCGTCAAATCCAACCAGAAATTTTGGCAACATTCTTCATGTCCGGAATCCTCGCCGCCGGTTTGAATCTCAGCCAATTCTTGATCATAGGCCGCACCAGCGCCGTCACCTTCAATGTTGTCTCCAACGCAAAGAATGTCATTATCATTGTTCTCGGCTGGTATACCGCAAACCATAACCCCTCGTTGATGGACTTTGCTGGAGTCTTTCTAGCACTAACTGGAGCGGCTGCCTACTCATGGCTTCGAAGATGACGTCCCTAAATGGTGGTTGCATTCCACAGTTTACAGAGGATAAAGAATGGCCGTTCAATAGCTATCATATAGCTACATTGGATACCGAGGACCACGCGTGGTCAAGAGAACTTGAGTAAGATCTATGTGTTCAGCATCGATGGTGAGTAGAAGGGTAATCTAAAAAAAACAGATAGATCACGTCAAGTATAATTTATCTCCCGATGGACGATATGGACTTCCTGGAGTCGGGTTCTATGCCGTGGCTTCTTACTCTGTTATACCATAATGTAATGTTTGTCGGGTGATATACTGGGTGTGTTCTATAGAATCAAGTGCTGTCACTTACTAGGTACCTGTGGAAGAGGGTTGGAGCCCATGCGAAACGCCACTTTATCCACGAGAAGAATCAAAATTTTTGTACATAATGTCAGGTCGTCTCCTGTTCACTATATTCCATGGGCTGACTTGAGAACCAACCGTTTTGGTGATGATGCTGCACATATATATCGCCATATTCCGGAGAATCACTCCTGCAATGTCTCCCACAGAAGGCATTAATAGGGAGGAACAAAATGTCTCCCAACAGGATAGGTTCTGTTAGGTTACTGAACAGCAACCAGTCCACGCCGATCCCCTGTTCACGAAGGACTTCGATAACCACGTCTGTGAACATTCCTGGCCCAGTTGCTTCGACTGCGTCTGCTTTTGGTATGACCACACGATCTACCGGTACCCGCTGAACTCCCGCCAGAAACTCGATATTACTCATAACGCGATAGATGGCTTTTTCAAATAGTTCATGTCCTGGCTTCGTCATCAAGGTCCACTGCACGAAGCCAATAGGGCGCAATGCTCCTTCTTTGGTCTGATCGCGCTCAATCCCAACTACCACATTCACGGGTTTCTCTGCATCGTCCAAAAACCTCCTCGGAATCCAGTCATGGATTGGTTTAACAACTGAGGTATCGATGTCACTATAGACCCCACCGCGGGCGAACATGACCAGATATCGAAGAAAGTCTGTCCGTAAGACAGGCGTATTCAATTGCTTCCAAAATCTTTTGATTGCTGGTCGCACCGAGAAATGCTGATCAACAAAATCGTCAAGCACATCATCTAGATGCATGAGTCGAGAACCTAATATGTCACGGAAACTTCGGGACTCACCCTTCATGATCCAATAAGTGTAGTCCGGATTCAGATCTCTCCACGACTTCCACATCTGCTCGAAATCACGCTTGCCTGCCGTAGTCGTTGTCTGAACGATTTTCTTAGGGAAATCAGCCAGTATATCGACTTCCAGTGGCTTATAGGCTGAGGTGACGGGAACAACTGAGGATTCAATACTTGCATCCCCACCGGCCGCTGCGTCCCAAGTCCGTGGTTCGCCCATAAGCTGCTGGTATCCGGGCAGAGGAAGTAGACATGGCTTCTGAATGAACAGTACGCACAGAGTAAGCGCTACAAAGGCAACCTGGGTCAGCCGGCGACACTTTGCACCTGCATTTCTTTTCCAACAGGGTGCAGAGGTCATGGTGTCACCGAATGGTGCAGTGTCGTGTGCTACGACTGCGTCCTTGCTTTGTGTAAGATGCATTCAACCACGCGGTTAGCATTCACCACAGCGAGGCTGGCGGATATGAGTCGGATATGCCGAGTGGCCGCTAGGTATCTCTCTGCCTCACCTTGCTAAGATGAGCAGGTATTTAGACCAAAAGGACAGGTTCTGGGACACTGGGCACCCTAAAAAATGCCCATGAGAAGTGGGGCCGAGGCGGCGCTTCTGGAGGCCTGGGCTTTCGACCACAGAAGTTTAATTCTCTCAACCTTTACGCAGTAGGTTACTTTGATTTTGCCGCTCTATGTTGTGAATAAAGTGGATGCTTTTAGTTTCTGACAGCCACCCTTCTGGGACAACGTGATAGCTGCAACTGAACTCCAATAAAGGTCTCACGAGCTCTATCATAATTCATTGTATTCATTTCTGCGAGCCTCATCCATACCTGTGAATGCTCGAATTTGATGTTCCAAAACACAAGACAAAATGTTCCAAGATTTCAAAGTCTTTGTTAAAGGAGTGGTGGTTACTGCTTTAGTTCTCTTCGGCCTCGACCTTATTCTACGAACATATCATGGTTATACGTATAGAGATTCCTGGCACGCAATCTCTAACGCAGCATGCGACACAAATACTACACTTACCAGTGCACCATCGACGGCTAGTTCAAAAGTCGGGAAGGTCTTCATGCAATACGGCCCAGTGAACCCAGTTTACGAGCGAGCTCTTTCCACGCATCACCCTCACAACGAAAAATTTGGATATCCTATATTCCTGCTTCGCTCGCAGACATTACCGGACTATTGGTCAAAGACAGCATACATCTTAAAGATACTGATTGACGAGCTAGAGAAGCCGTTGGAAAGCCGGCTCGAGTGGTTATTGTGAGCTGCCCTCCAGTCCCAGCAGGTCTCCACAAGACTTTCTAATAATGGAGATGATAGTTGGTTCGACTCAGATATTGTCCTCATGAATCCCAATATACCGCTGGAGATATTCTTGCCACCTAATGACAAGTGGTCTCATATCCATGTATTGATCAGCCAAGATCATCGTGGTTTGAATAATGGCTGTTTTGGCATTAGGGTCCACGAATACTCTGTTTGGCTTTTGTCGGCGACTCTATCCATTAAGACCTATCTACCAGACATCAAGCTGAAGATCGGCGACCAGTCGGCCCTTGAATATTGGCTACAAAGCGTAAGTTGGCCGTCTTCAGTTTGACACGTGGTGACTAAATTCAGAGTACAGACTCAGTTTCGGAATGGCACCATGCACATGCCGCAACGTTGGTTCAATGCATATGCTGGATACCGAGGGAGGGCTGACTACTCAGATCCTCTTCTTCCACAGCGGAAATTCAGGCCAAATTCGATTAAAGAAGGAGATATATTGGTACATCATGCCGGCCACAAGCAGTTACGCATGGCACGTATGGAGCCCTGGGTTGCCGTGGCGGAACAACATCTCCCTCAATGGGAACTCCAGCTATCTCAAACAACCTATCTCCAAGAAATCCAAAAGTTTTGGGAGACCGAGGCAGATAAGGAATACGAGCGAGTGACTGCTTTCAGAGAGGTATCTGGATATCATTACTTGTGAAATTGTACCATTTCGCAAATGGATAAGATATTGAATCAACGCTATTCGTTTCCACGGCTGCTTAGATGATCAATCGCGCGTGATACGTTCTACTACGATTGTGGTCGCGATACGGGCCAAAAAATAAGATTTTTGGTCAGCCCTAGGCTCTGTCGTTGAATAATAGCGGGTTTGTACTACTTGCTTGATGCTTTTTGCCTCGGTGTCATTACGATGTTTCCAGGCTCACAGGCAAAGGTAGCAAGAGACCACATGCCTACTTCAGTAGTGACTAGGTAGGTCGACCCGCTAGAAAGGACCGAACCTGACCACATGCACGTAAGCCCATTTGTAATGACGACAGGGATAAACTGACCGCGATGCGTTACACAATGTTTCTAGGCACTAGGGTGGAGTATGCTAGTCTCAATTGGTATATGAGCGTCACGGCAAGTACTAGCGTATGCTTTGGTGGCTGTCGCCTGGAACGCCAGAACGCCACCAGAATGATATACCCGCTGACGTTTTGTGGGATCTTCCATGCTATTCGGTGTACACCCACACACCACAGGATGGTCCTGTCTTGGCTGGTTCTAAATAGAGAGATGGTACAATCCAGGCCTATAGCGAGGGACAAATCGTTACCCACATACTATTTAGCTCTGCCTAACTATGGTCTTTTGATATCAGTCTTTCCAGTTTAGACCAGCCAGAAATCTCAAGTGCGACATCTGCAGGATCAAGCAGTGGCTGCCATACCATGAGAAGAGTGACTCGCCACTGACCAAGAGAGTTCATCACTCTCTATCTCCTCTGTTGAAGGACGACCAAGGCATCCATCTACGACTACTGCGAAGGGATAAGAAACGCAGAATTCATCTACCTTCAATCGAGACCACATCACTGTCCCGCGCCACTTGAACGATGGCAGAGATTCTTCCAAAATGGCAAGACAAGCCCCAAGTTGTGAATAAAGCATCAACGCCAACACTGCGTCAAGTGTTCAAGAGTCCTTGGAAACTTATGGTTTTTGGTCTCGGATGTCTCGTCTCTTTACACCTTTTCTCTCGGATGCTCAGTGGCTCTATCATCCGCAGAAGCACCGAGATGTCGGCCCAAAGTATGCCTAGTGACAGTCTTCACGATATCTACAACAGCACACTCGGGGTAATTTACTCTTCTTCTCAAGGCAAAGCAGTCTTCGAAGCTAACAAGATTATAACAGTTTCAAAAGGTTTTCGCTATTGGGTTTGCCGAACGGACCGACAAGCGAGATGCAAAAACTCTTGCATCATCATTTACAGATATTGACATCGAATGGCTTCCTGCAGTATCCTTCGAACAAGTCTCTCCCAAGGCAGCCCCTCCCGTAAGTCATCCTTCCTCAAACACCGAGACACGTTTCTGTGAGCTAAATGCGTCTTAAAGACTTGGGATTTCAATCGACAGGCCAAAGGTGCACTTGGTTGTTGGAGAGCTCATATGAACGCGTTAGAGCAGTGAGTATCATCTTCATTACAAGTGACAACGAACTTGGGCTCGAAAACTGACGATGGATAGCATCGTACGCCACCGGATACAAACAGCCTTGATAATGGAAGATGATGCCGACTGGGATGTCAGCCTGAAAGACCAGCTACTGGAGTTTGCCACCGGCACACGAGCACTTCAACACCTACCACCCAACTCGCCTTCCTCCTCTGCCTATGGCAGCGAGTGGGATTTCTTATGGCTTGGCCACTGCCGAGTTGGCTCCACTGACGATGATCAAGAATTCTGGGTTATCGACGATGACAGTACTTCACCACCGGTTAAACATCGATGGGCCGGGTGGACAAACCGACATTTCCCTGACGAGGTTCGTAGAGATGGCACTCGTGTTATTCTCAACGCGGCTGGAGGAGGTATGTGCTTATATAGTTACGCTGTGACTTACGAAACAGCCCGCAAAATTCTCGCTTCCGTCTCGCTAACGTCGATTGACTCCCCGGTTGATGCCAGCCTAAGTGAGATGTGTCGAGGCAAGCTTGGTAACCCACTCAGATGCTATGCACCCTATCCACCCTTACTTGCCAGCCATCGCGCGGCCGGCCCACAGTTCCGCGATTCGGACTTGAATGAGAAAGGAGATAAATGGCACAAGGCTTATACGTGGGACATCGTGTATAGCACGGTTCTCAACATTCCGAGGCTCGTTAAAGGAATGGCTACAGTCAACGCACAGTGGCCAGATCACTCACGTCCGGAGATCCTTTGGAATTCGTCTTTGAGAGCAAGTTCAAAAGGCTACCTCAAGACAATCGCTGTTTCCAATTCCACAACATCTCCAAATGAACCCTAGATTGGAAGACACAAAAGAATACTAGATATTAAATCCCATTAGGGAATTATTTCGATTGATGGTGTAGTGGCGCTCGTACAGTCTTGCTGTTCTTGTTAAACCTTGTACGATTGTGAATGCATGGTATGGTGCTTGGAGTGGTCTGAACCGGTCTAGGAAAGCTAGATAGAGAAGTGTTATGCTGTATCGATATCTGGGACATTTTGACCCACAGCAATAAATACCATATCGTTCGGTAAGTTATAGGGCTCGGGTTAGCCAGGTGAGTCTCGACAATCGTGGATTTTCACTCAGAAGCATGCGATCATAGAGTAATGCGGGGTTTTGTCTTTGTTTTGGTTGAGATTTGCCTCGATCAACCTTGCTAAGCAACAAAGTTCCTCCGTGGGTCTAAGAAAATGAGGCGTTGGCGATTAGAGCTGACGGTGGCCTTCTTTGTTTCTATAAGTCACCAGCTCTCATGCTGAGAACCGCTCGCGCGTCCATGATTGCACATCAGAGAATGACATCTGCATCTTTTAAATAGTCCGAACTTAGGGCGACATGGGTTTGTGGGCCTTATCGACAAGGCCTGACATGTTGGCTTGCTCCCAGATCCGACACCTTGCGCCCCTCCGGCTAGACTCTTCTGGGCATGGCTAGCGCAAACAGTGCCAAATCCAGCACCCCTGTCAAAGTGGCCTAAAACTACCCTTGCAGTGGATCTGCCGCATGAACCAGGGTCCCAAGCAAAGTGAATTACAGTCTACGAGACAGTGGATCCACACTGTATTGTATTGATGTTAGACGGTAATGTAATTATGAGAGGTCAAAATGCGTTGGTGTCAACCTGGATCTGACGGGATCCTCGTTGACTGGGACTAGCACATGCATGTACAATTGAATATTACATTTTGAAATCTGGGTCTCCGATAATAGTGCCGTGAACAACTTGAATACTAGATTTTAGTGTCGTGAGATAACTAGGGGCAGAATTCTTACCCCGGCACTTACCTCGCCCTATAGCTAGACCATGTCCAGTACATGACCTTCTGCGTCCACATTTCTTTCTGTACCTTAGGAAGTGCCATTTACTTCTTCTACTTCTATCGGACCATTCAATAATCCTGTGGCCATGATCATACGTCGGTTCGTTCCGTTGTCTCGCGAATTCATTATCGCCGCGATTCTCGCAATAACAATATGCGCCATGCTGGCAAGATCGCCGTTCCCTTCTCGCGCGTACAACAAAGTCCTTGAATCCCACATAAATTGGCAGTCCTCGTGCGCAGCAAATCATGCACCAGTACACCATGATCTACGGGTGGTTCCTGGAGGGACCCTGGAACATCCGGTATCAAAGTATGCCTACGTCGTCTATCTAGCTCCGAGCGAGAAAGAAGACGCCGGGGAAGAAGATACTGAGGACAACGTATACATGACATCCGTCCGCATGCTTATTTACCAATTCCTACATGACCCGGAAACACGAACAAACGCGTCGATTCCGTTCATTGTACTCGTCTCTCCAGCTGTATCTCAGGCAAAGCGAAAGCGTCTAGAGTCAGAAGGTGCATGGATTGCCGAGTTCCCACCAATCGAGTTAGATACTGTTAAGCCAGCTCGCGCCCGCTGGAAGCATGTCATGGATAAGCTCAATGTGTTCAAGTTGACACAATTCGACAAGATACTCCTTCTAGATCTCGATATCGTCGTGTTCAAACGTCTGGACGGTATCTTCGATGATCCAGAGACTAACATTCAAACGAACCTTGGGATGAAGGAGCAGACAAAAGAGGACGAAGGACCACAACCAAAGCAATACCTACTAGCTGCAGACTCCGCCCCTCTTGGCAGCGACAACCATCCCTGGCCTGCACCGCGATCAACGGCTCTGAATGCCGGATTTCTCGTCCTTCATCCTTCGGAGGATACCTTGGCCCATTACTTACGTGTGGGTGCAATTGAAGGCCGAACCCCAATGCTGGCACCTGAGAATAACCTGCTCGAGTATATTCACCGAGTGGATGGGAACATGCCTTATTCACAGCTACAACACCATTGGGTCATGAATCATCCGGTATATAGCGACTACGAACATGGCATTGCCGCTGTTCATGAGAAATGGTGGAGGAATAGTATGACAGACCACCGACTTAAGGAAATGCTCCTCCGGGTCAAGTGGAAAATGGAGGGCTACTGGAGCCGGGGCTAGTTCATGATGTTTAACTATGTGCATTGAGATGTGGCTGTAAGAACTCTTCTATCTATCTAAGACAAATGCGATCATGAAATCTTCTTTCTAGCTTTAATCTGGATCAAATACGAGGCATTCTGTTCCATTTGCCGGTAGACCAGCTCATAACTCTCCAGCCATGGCCATCTGACGTTGACGTCTCAGTCATGATATCTTCCTTGGGTAACATAGGAGCTTCACCTACTACTAGACTATCCACGGCAATCTTAATAATCCCGTACGGCAACTTATTAAATTAAGCTAAAGGTACATTGATGTTCGGATGTGGCAAGCTATGGGTGAATCTAGTAGTCAGGTAGATCGGACACAGAGGTCTCATTAGGGTGCTACGATCTTTTCTCCATTGAGCTTTGCTGTAGCCGGCAGGGATCCAAGGTGAAATTGCTTCAGATAACCAGTTGGAGAACGTCTGGCTGATGGATCCCAAGGGACTTCTTGAATTTCTGTATCGTTCCACTGTGATACAATAGATGACGCTCCATCCACCAATCGCGGAATATTGATCATGGTGCTAAAGGGGATATCAAATGTATATTCATCATGCCAGTCTCCCTTTTCGTGGGGATTAATGTCGGAATCCTGTGACGTGTATCCAGCTGCACGGTGTGTTGACATCAAGGGCGGCCACACCGCGTAGCAATCGAAACCTTTTGCCATCTTGCCGCGACACATGTCTGAAACACTTTGATCAACGGGCTGATTACGAGGCTGCACTGACATAGAAGATAGCATCTTCCTTGCACCTTCGTAAGTAACTGCATAACCGTATAAGCACATGCCAGCATACGCCCGAAAGAATAGACGAGTGTCGTTGTGGGTAACTTCGTCCGGTACATGCGTTTGCCGCCACCTTGAATTACGGTGAGATGGAGGAGGTACTGTGAAGTCATTTTCAATGACCCAGAATTCTTGCTTGGAATCCGTGGGGCCAACACGGTTATGTCCTAGCCATAGAAAGTCCCAATTATGACCGTAAGGCGAAGGCGTGGAGTCCGGCGAATTCTGAAGTGCCCTTGATCCAGTGGCAATCTCGAATAATTGATCCTTCAGGAATGGAGACCAGTCCGCATCGTCCTCGGTGATCAATGCAGACTGGATACCCTCAGAAATGATCTTTTGGAGGACATTCATATGAGCCCTCCAACAGCCAAGCGCTCCTGGGTTGCGCTGTCCAGTGTCCCAGTTCTATATGGGAACGGTTAGCAATGAGTCTGCACGACTGGATTTGGAAGCTAATTGTGACCTACCGATGGAATTGCTTGATCTGCTATGTCATCTGGGCGCACTCCTGGCAGGTATTCAACCTGGAAGCCTGCAAATGATGCAGCCAGGGTGCTCAGGTCTTTCTTGTCTGTGCGCTCTTGCAGGCTGATTGTGAAGACTTTCTGGAATCCTAACGTGGTATTGTAGACGTCTTCGTGGTGGCTCCTACCCAAAGCGTACCTAGTGACTGTAGGGACAGAGTCCGCTCGCTGGAAAAGCAACATCAACAAGCCAAAGCAGATTACCACCCCAACAAGACCGCGTCGTTTGGTAATAGCCATCAGGCTTGCAAAGGTTGTCGAGGCGTCAGACATTTCCTGCGGTAGAGGATATAAATTACCCCTACAATACCGAAAACAGAACGCAAGATAGCTTTGAGATGGATATTATTTGGAGTGTAGAAAGGGAAACGGACAAATGCAGAAAGCTTGGAGCACCTCCAAGTGTGACCGAAGGTTGGGCGAGGACGGTGATCTTGCCTTTGTCTTTTTGCCACCTAAATAGGACCAGAGCAGCCCAGGCCGACCCCACTTCGATGGCATTGAACAAATCGAATTTGTGTGTCACATCTCCCTCCTCATCTTTGCCTCAATTAACATTCACAAAAAATTATGTTACTCTCAGTTGTAGAATTTATCGTTTCGTCCTTTCTGGTTAACAATCATGGGGAACAGAATCTGGGCAACATCTGCGGCACTTCCAGTTTCGATCATGATGCCCATAGTCTCTAGACAGCATTGCATCCAGGGAGCGAAGTCTATCCGAATTTCTAGACGCAAGTTCAGTACAGTCAAGATTCTTAGTCTACATTGTGTTAGAATACTATGTGTATTTTGATGAGGTGTGAAGGAAGTTTCAATGACTTTGAGGTAGCTCCTGTCCTGATCTGGCACCGATCCGGTGACTTCAGCCCACTCCAGGAAACATGTCTCATATCATTCCCAATGCCTACCAATGTTGTGATCAGTAGAGCTCTGGCCGTCTTTCCGATGTCGGACAGCTCGGATCTTGGCTTTCAATCAAGCTTCTAAGAAGGAGGTAAATTTCAGAAACTGACAACAGACTATGAAGGATATTGAATGTTATGCCTACGAACGCCTCTGCTTGTCAGGTTTGGATACTGAACGGAGAACGCAAAGCCGTCGTCGCCTATTTGAACCCAATCAGGTTCTGAGACAACCCTGTGGGCAAGCAGAAATGTCATGATCACACTTACTGGGGTCAATCAAATCTACCAATCTGAGCATTAGAATGTCACCACGCAGGGCTGGCCTAAGAACAACCGTGGTTGGCTCACCCAGGTCCAGCAAAACGACAATGGAAGATCCCTGAGTAAGTCGAGGAGTGAGTAAGTATCTGTGTTCATGCGCAGAGTGCCAATATCCGGTTTGTCCGAAATATAGAAGCATCTGCGCAATTAACGCATCTGCTTCACAGGGACGCCGAAATTTGAATATACAAGTAGGTACTTCGTAACTGACCTAAAGCGAGAGGACAGAAAACTAAAGACGTTCAGTAGTCTCGACACAAGTGCCTCCATCAGCCTTCTCTAACACTGATCCTTAGCCGCTTTGTTGTGTATGCTTGCAAGAAACCTGGAGAGCCACTCCCATCCATGAGAGTCCAAGTTCTTCAAAATATATGGCCCAAAACCAATTAAGGCTCAGAGGACGAAACCATCCGGCACGTGGAAGTCGAAGTGAACAGCGGCACAGTCAGTGTCCAAAAAAAATGATAATGTGTGTACCTTGACCCAGGACAACATGTTGGGGACTATCATGGCGATACGGTGCGATCCTTAGGCCTGCGCCTGAGCCTGCGCCTGCGCTCCAGAGTACCGAGTTACGTCTCAGTGGGAATTCGTAATCTTCCCGAAAGTGGACTCGGCGCATCGATCTTGTCCGCGCCAGGTGGTGGAGAATCTTGGTCAAGCACGACTACGCGGCAAGGTCCCGGATCCATCGCCCACAAAGGATCTTAACTTTGGTGACACAAACCTTAAATGCTTTGAACAAGAGCGTCCAGACCCTCAGGCTGCCTTGCGATCCAAGCTTCCTTGGCGCGTGGCGTCGAAGGCGCAAGCCACACATCCAATGCCGCATGAAGACCGCATGAAGACATCCCGAAATGGTAAGAGCTCGTCTGATCTCACCCATAATCGGCATTTGGCATTGGGTGAGAAGCAGAACTTCAATGTTAAGGCAAAAGTTTCGCGAAATCCCTAGCCTCGAGCTCAAGCTTTGCTCGGGCAGGGCTTTTGCGATCGGTTAAGTGGACAGGTTTCTTGATGGAAATCCCGAGTGTACACTAGATACTTTAACAACATCCCAAACACACCAGGCCATTAAAATGTGTTCTCAAGTGCGCAAGTTATAAGTTCGGCAGTCAACAAAACAGTGATGCTCAATCTAGTACTTGTTTTTTAGTATCCGACGCAAGCCCGATCGGATGGGCTCGGAGCAAGTTCTCCTCGGCCCAGCAAGTCATATACTCCAGGATAGGACGGCCTGGTGCCAAACTACCTAACTAAAATCTGCGAACCTTATTGTAAAAGGCCAGCAAATCAAGCCAGGACCCAGCCATTGGGCGAGAATGTAATGCGGTGCCAGGGCCAGAACACAAGACACCTACCATACACCTCCTCCGACAAGTTCTGCGTCGTGTAGTATTTTGATAGAGCCGGTAATCTGATCTACTTAGTATTTCTGATGATGGTCCAGGCGCACATTAACTTATCGTCACTCTCTAACCAAAACCCTCTCGGCTTAAGCCATGGGATCCGTAGCGATGATGGTACCATGGATGCATCCGGAAGCAATATGCGCACGGCCAGTATGTGGCCCAAGCGCGGCTGCTCTCCACAACGGCTTTAGTATAGCTAGACCTGCAGGTCTCTCAATTTTCTTCGACGCATCCACAGCCTTGTACGTGAAAAGCTCCGAACATGGGGCATCTCTTGGGCAGGTCTTGTGTCAAGCTTGACAAATTGAGCGATCGAGGAAATCTCTAGCCTACAGCCCGCGATAACCCTTGCTTACTGACACCTCGTTCTCAGCCAAACACGGCGAGATCTTTGGGTCTTTGGTCGCCTTCTGCACGGTGAAAAGTGGCTCAGCTGAACGATCTTGCTGGGACGTGGCGATAAGGAACCAGAAGTCCTATCAGTACCTCGGTTGGCCGCCAATGAACTTAACGACAGTTGTATTGGACAAGGGCAACAATACTAAGACCGAGCTACACAGAGATGTGTGTTTTGGGAGAACAAAACCACACAAGCCAATAGATGCTACGTAAGACCGTTAAAATGTGATGTTATGAGACATTTCTTTCAAACAGCTTGTTCCATGGTTTCTAGCCATGGGTGTCATTCACGAGCTGAACCACAGGCATCATCGCGGAAGTGACTCTTTTTTCCTTGCGCGTTGGCAACCCTGGGCGGAAAAGGTGGTGCGATGTACAGGCGGCTTATGCAACGTTATCGCTTTGTCACTTTCGCTATTGTATTTTGGCACAATTAGGCTTAGCTGAAAAATCTGAGTCTTAAAATATCATTCCTTGACTGAGAATTTCGTATGTTCGTTCTGGCCAACTAGAAACCTCTAGGCGCTGGCCGAGGTGAACCACGCCAACTGGGCCTATGGTAATCTGGGTCCTATAGACTTGCACTAAAGCTTTGTCCATGCCGCGGTGATTGAGGGAAACTCGACCAGCTAAGCGGAAGGTCGTATGTCTAGACTCTAAAAAAGCCTCTATCCTCTATCCCGACAATGGATATGCACAGTGAGTGCGTGTGCTTATCGTCGTTTATATGCTTTTAGTCATTGTCAACCCGACCATGCAGACCCATGCAAAAATTGGATGAGTCGAAATGCTTATGTCTCAGCTAGAAATGCAAGGCACCTGGAGCACATCGTCTGTACTGCACTCTTCCGGGACCAGCTGCAGCTGATATGTGCGTACCAATGTAGGTACCTGCCTACTTCGTAATGTGGATAAGTCTTTGACCCAACTTTTAAGGTTTCGAATGCAGCTTTTTTGCTGTCATTTCAAATTGTGCTTACCTTCTGTAATTTATCCTGTCATATACGCGGCTGATTTAAAGGTGAAATACCGTACTCATGTTTATCTGGTGGCTTAGGTATGCATACTTGCGCGTGGAGCGGGAAGGCTATCGGAAAAATCCCTACTTTGAAAACTGCCGGCAGCCACCTTTGCGTAAGCTAATGTTCGGAGGCGTGGAGATGTGGTTTACTTCCCTCGATGTAGAAGGATTTGAGATTATTTTTCATAGGTGCGACGAGACACAGACTACCTAAGACACCCAAACAGCGCAGCGTTTCGCACATGTGAAAGAGCATTATGATCTTTGATCGTGACACGTGACATCAGATGGACAACCGCAAGCCGCTCCTTGATGTGTCCTTTATTTCAGGTGGGGAGCTTGCTGCTGAATTGCAGCCATGTTGAATGACTTGGTAGGATCGACTTTGGCAGTCGAGGATGGAGTATCACGGTTCTTCCTGGCTGCTGGATGACTTATTATCACGGTGTAGCAAGAGATCCTGCTTAACTGAACTGTAGTGCGAGGTGGCTAAAACAAGAGTTACCAGGTACTCTGACATCACTAGAAGGTGCCAAGATAATCTCCTCACGTGATACGCTTAGTTGCGTTAGAACCACGATAATTGTCTAGCCTTCCAGTCAGCGCTAATGCTTCCTAGAACGCGAATCAATCCTAGTTAATGCGCTTAACGATGAATATCAGGTTCACGGGGAGCGCAAAGCTCCGAACCAATCAGACAGATACGTCCTGACGGCCTCCTGGTCCAGTGGACAGATCTGCTAATGTAGAGGCTCCTGGCTGCAGAATCAGATGGAGGGGCGCCGATGGGAGGAATAAATTGTCTGTGACTGAACAGTTCCACGTGAACTCTACTGTCTTCCTATTCAGTGCTTGGTGCAACCGGATGAAAATCTTCCGTGGGCAACGTGGGCTATCAAGTGAAAATAACTGGCTGGTAGATATGCTCAAATAGTCTTTACGACCAGATGATCTAGAACGCCGGCCTAGCAAATTCTGGATTGATTTGGAGGCTGTGTAGTAGTATGGTAGTAGTATGGCATGAGACTAGAACAACAGACCAGATCTTCAGGTCTGTAAATCCAGGTGTCTCGGATTTTCTGCGGGGATCAATATCGTTTCATAAATAATCTACCGAGGTCGAGAGAACAACGGCAAAGTCATCACAGATTCTAACTTGTACCTTGCTATTGCTCGATAATTACTGTAGAAGGTATTTGGAACCGAGCTTGTTCGCCGTTCTGCGTGTGTTGCCGGGCGCAGCTACCTAACCCTTGAATGGATTTTCGCCCAGCCAAGTTCCGCTGAAGAGGCTTTTCAATATATTTCGGCGATTGGGGATTTCAAATCGACATCTATGCCTAGGGCGGG